TTGTTTCCCATTCTGTGCACATGCGTGTAACCAATGGATCCAGTCTTGATTTTCAAGCATATTCTTGGTTGTTCTAGTAAACTGATCAATTCTATTAGCTTTGCACCTCAGGGAGAGAAACTGGGGTCTAGTAAGGACAAAGCAGCTCTACTCTGTCCAGTCTAGAAGTGGTCTCTCCCAAATACATTTCTGAGGATTATTGAGTAGAACCTGCAGAATTAGGGGATATAGCGACATTAGTGGCAGTGTGATGTAGTTACATGTAGTTTGGGTTCCAGTCCTGCCTCTGCCATTCACTATGTGTCCTTGAACAAATTCAATTCTCTCTCTAGGCTTCAGTTTTTCCCTCCTGTACAATTGAGGCAAACTAGGACCTATTTCTAAGTATGGATCTGGAATTTATGGCAAAGGAGGTGGTTGGGTGCCCCATAGGGACACTTCATTCTCCACCCTTGGCTCTCTGCTCCATTCTGCACTCTTCTCTACTTAGGAATATAACAAGTTCTCATGACTTCACCATCACCTCTCTCTGAAGGATTGTCAAAGCTCTCCCTCTAGGAATGACCTCTCTTCTGAGTTCTAGCCCTACCATCTTCCACCTAGAAGGCATCTCAATGCAGGAGTCCTATCACCTATTTCCACATAGCTAGTCCAAAATTGTCTTCTACTAAAAATAGACCCTTTCCTTCAGCACTTTCTGAGCTCTGTTTATGGACTTATTACTGCCCAGGCCAACCATATCTATAACATGAGCAGTATGTGTGCTTTTCACTTAGCCATTATTCATTCACCCTGACACATAGCCAAGCCCTAGCCACTTTTCTTTCCCCAGTCTCTGGCATCCACCCCTTCTACTCTGATTTCACTGCCACTAACCTGCATTTGCTCATTTGTTGCAAAAGTATCCAGACTGGTCTTTCTGCTTCCACCCTTTCCCTCCTATAGATTACAATACAGAAGCCAGGGCAATTCTTTTAAAACACAAATAAGATCATGCCACCCCCCTATTCAGATCCCTCCAGTTATTTCTTATCTCAGAGTAAAAGCTAAAATTCTTTAAATGGCCTGCAAGACTCTACATAATATACTCCCCTTCACCCTTCCTCTTTTCCATCTCCTACCAATTTTTCCTTTCAGTCACTCTGCTCCAACCCATCTCCTTGAAAATGTCAGGCATGCTCTGTCATCAGAGCCTTTGCACTTTCAATTCTCCACACCTAGAATTATCTTTACGCACATACCTGCCAAGTCTTCTCTCTTATTTCATTCAGGTGACTGTTCAAATATCACTTCCTTGGATAGTACATTCCATATTATCACTGTCGTAACAGATTAGCACAAACTTAATGGATTAGAACAAATTTATCATCTCACAATTCTGGAGGTCAGAAATCAGCCATAAATCTCACTGAGCTAAAATCAAGATATCAGCAGGGATACATTCCTTTCTGGAGCCTCTAAGGAAGAATCAGTTTCCCTGCCCTTCCCAGCTTCTAGAGGTCACCCACATTCCTTTGTGCATGTTACCCTTCCTCCATCTTCAAAGCCAGCAGTGTTGCCCCTGTATGTACCTTTCTTTCATAATCACATCTTCCTCTGACTCTTCTGCATCCCTCTTCCGCTTTTAATGACCCTCGTGATTACACTGACCCACTTGGATAATCCAAGATAGTCTCCTTATGTTAAGGTCAGCTGACTAGCAAACTTAATTACATCTGCAAATTAAATTACTTTTTGTCATGTAACCTAGCACATTCACAGGTTCTGAGGATTAGCATGTGGACATCTTTGAAGGTCCAGTATTCTGTTTACCACACTCTCTGTACCATAGTTCTGCTTTATGTTACTGCATGTACTCATCATCACTTGACATATAATATACAATACATATGTTTGCTAGTTAGACATGCATATAATCAAGAAAATCAAATGGTTCTGTGAAGATTGTTTAAACATTTCCCTTCCCCCAGAGATAATCATCTTCAACTCTTTTAGCTTATTTGTTTGGGTAGTGTGTGGATGGCTTTATAAATAACATGCTTATATTGCTATTCCATCTATAGAAGATGAGAATCTATCTCTCACTCCCCCACCCCTACCTCTATTTACCCCAGTCATGCACAGACACTCAGGCATATTTCCTATCTTCTCATTCTCTCAGTTTATTATTCATGAATAAGTTATTCATATATAATTTTGGTGGTGAGAGCAAAATTCAGTCTTTAAGTTACTGTTACTACATGGCTGAGCCATATAGTATATAATTACATACTTTTTCTTTCCATATTTTGGTTGTGTGTTTAATAGCTATCTCTTTCCACTAGAATGTAAGCTCCATGTCTATTTTGTTGATTACTAAATCCCTAACACCTAGAACAGTGTCAGAAAAATTAAATGTACATAATATGCATTTATTTGATACCTGCTGGGTGCTTAGTCTCATGTCTGGGCCCTTGTGCTAGAACCCTGTAAAGCCAGACCTAGCAAGGTCTTTAAAGGTGAGCTCTGTGATTTTCAAGCCATTCAAATCATACACCCCTTTTAGGCAAATGACGTGTTAGAATCCAAATAATTCTAGCACAGGAAGTCAGATATGTTCCAGTGAAAGTGGGTTTAGAGAGTTAAAATCAGTAGCAAGCTAGTAAATATTAGTCAGCTGTCTGAAAAAAAAAAAAGAAGTCCTAGCTTGTGACACTTGTGGATTTTCATAGTGTAAATATTCTCATCATGGCTGATTTCAAGCTACAAACATGATGTCACTGAACATGGAGTTGGGAAAAAATTCACACAATCAACACTCACAATTCAAATTAGCCCCAGCACACCATTAGTTGAAGTCCAGTTATCTATACCTCCTCTCTTTGTTCCCTCTTCCCCCCTACAGGACTCCTAGGGATCCCTGGAACGTAGATTGGAGATCCATGAGTAAATCTGACACCTTTAAGGTACAGATGGGAACACTGAGGACTAGAGAGGGGGATGAACCCAAGCCTCCTAATGCCCATATGAATTAGTCTGTGTTTGTTGCTTATAACAAAATACTTGAAACTGGGTGATTTATAAAGGAAATGAAGTTTATTGCTTGCATTTTCTGAGGCTGGGAAGTCCAAGGTCCAGCCAGTGATGGTGACAGGAACCCAGGGGTCTCACAGTGCAAGATGGTGGAAGCAGAGAGAGCAGAGACAGACTGTCCTCTTCTTTTAAAGCCCTCAGAACCATGCCCTGACCACCATTTTTAATCCATTCACTACTGCATGGTCCTACAATCCATCACCTCTTCAAAGCCCCACCTTTCAATTACGATGATAGGATTTCCCACCCTCTTAATAGTCACAGGGGGGGCTAAGTTTCTAATACATAAAACTTGGGAAACACAATTCAGTTCACCATCAGTTAGAGCATGTCATTATTTAACTTCTTTTCCATTACAGTCTATTAGCACTGGATCATCTAGGATTGCAAAGGACCTTAAAGAGTAATGCTGTTTGAGCCCCAAACAAAGCTCAGAACTTCTCCAGACAGCTTAGTCCATCCACAGACAAGACTGGTTAATTGCAAAATTCATTTTTAGGGCAAATCAAAATCTGTCCCTGCCATGTTCCCATTCATGGGCCTGAGTTTTGCTCCCTGCCAAGTCTAGAGCCCTCCAGGAAGTATGTGGTGGATATAGCAATGTGAACTTATGTTTATTTGTTCTTTTCTACTCGAGGACTTTATCTTGGCCAAATATGCTGTTTATGCTCTAAGAGTCCCTGGTGAGGGCACAGGCCAGAGGCTTAACTTTAGTATCTCCATTTATAGAAGCCCTGGTGCTTGACAATACATTCTGGGAGCTAGAAAGTGCACCCTCGCCCCATACAAAAGGTGCTATCTTCCAGCTGCTTCACTGGAGCCTGATAATCCTGGGCTAAAGAAAGGGCTTTTATTAAGTAATAGCTCACACTTTGTAACCATCTCTTCTAGGAAAGACATAAAGAAATTACCTAAATACAAATCCCACTCCTGGCTCCAGTTAAATAAAACACAAGTCCTTAAAATATGAGCCTGTGGGTGGCAAATTCTGATGGGGAGCAATGGCTGTTTCAAATTCCCACCTTTTCCCACCTGTTTCCCTCACTTTGCTCCTACCACCATCCCTACCACATCCAGCTCCAGGATTTTACTCAGAGCCTTTTCCTCTCCACACCAGGCATGGACAAAATTTTTCTCCCACAGGATGGAATTTTCCAATGTATCTTTGCTGAGAACTAAGAGAAACCGAAAGGGAAATAAACAAAGAAAGAAATAAGGGGGAAAAATCAGACTTAAAAATTACAGGTTTCAATCTTGACAATAACTAATGATCTTGTTAAATAGGAATGCACACCCAGGCCTGTTCCTCACACTGAATTCCACCCTCAGAATTGCCTTTTGCCTGCCCTCTTCCTCCCTTTCAGAGAAGAGCTTAGAGTTGGAACACCAATCACTGAGCCCTTCTGAGGGAGTAAGGGTGGATAACAGGACAGAGGACTTGTTACCACATTTCCTCAGGTGCATATTTTTACAAAATGAAATAGCTCAGACCCAACTGCTCAGCAGTTTTGATCCCGTACCTCTTTTGGAAAATGTCAAAAGAAAAATTTTTTTCACGAACTTGCAGAACATCAAAGTTAGTATAGTCCCTAGAGACCACTCCATCCCAAAACTCTCCACATTATATATGAAGAAAATAGGCCCTTCATGGTGGTATGTGACTTACCAAGGGTCACCTCATAGCAAGGCAGTGACATGAGAAGGACATGGAACTCAAAAGAGCTAAACAATATTAAGGGCTTTCCTTCTGAGGACTGGTTATGATTAATGGGAAGGTTGGCAGAGAAGAAAATGGCACAGAGAACATGAAAGTGTGATGAAAGAAAGTTGAGGGATGTTTCTCAGAAACCTCTTGAAGACTGCCAGTGTCACTCTAGCTCCCAGGTGGGTATGCCACCTATGTTCCTTACTCTGTTCTCCTTCTTTAGGCCATCCCATACTGGAAGCACCAGAGTGTGACAGGGCGCTGGAAAGGGGATGTAAATATTCCCTGCACCTATGGTCCCCTGCAAGGTTACACCCAAGTCTTGGTGAAATGGCTGGTACAACGTGGCTCAGACCCAGTCAACATTTTCCTACGTGACTCCTCTGGAGACCATATCCAACAGGCAAAGTACTGACATCACTTACACGTGAATCATGAGGTTCCAGGAGATGTGTCCCTCCAACTGAGTACCCTGGAGATGGATGACAAGAGCCACTACACATGTGAAGTCATCTGGCAGACCCCTAATGGCAACCAAGTGGTGAGAGATAAGATCACTGAGCTCCGTGTTGAGAAACGTGAGTTACTGTGGGGGTAGGAAAGCATTGATAGGCAAAGTCCAAATAGAGGACTGTAATCCTAGAAACCCCTGAGAAACCCAGAGACCTTTGATTATCTGTACATAGGCTCTCTTCAGTTATATGTGCTAATCAGAGGACTGGCACATGATCCTCAGGGTCATCAACCCCATGGCAGAATTTAAGTGTTGGGAAGCGTTCCTGGCCTTCAAATTTCTATCTCTTCAAGTGTCCCAGAAATTTCAGCATTTATGACCTGGATGCCCTCCTTGGGTTATGGACCTTAAAACTCATAAAAATTGGCATATCTGATCAGAATATTGGAGAGTAGATAGATACTGACAGAGAATCTCTGGGGAAAGGGAGGTAGGGGTTAATCAAAATAAGCTTTGCTGGCTTGACAATTTTACAAAGGTCTGGCCATGGTAGTCCAAAACTGCAGATGATCTAAAACCTCTACCTGAACCTAAAAAAACTACATTATTTTTTTAAAGTCCATTGATTGTTAACTCCAGTTAACCCAAAACCTCAGATAATGTGAAAAAGACCTCATCCACCAAAGGAGGCTATTTTTATTTGTATTGCCCTTTTCCTTTCTTCACTCCGAAGTCAGGATCACCCTTTAGATACAGTTGCATATATATACATGCCCTTATGCCCAACAGGGATGAGTCAGCCTTGTATCCCCACATCTTTATGACTTTTCAGAGCCTTCTCTCTTGTCTTTCTTATGCAGTCTCCGTCTCCAAGCCCATGGTGACAACTGGCAACAGTTATGGCTTCACACTGTCCCAAGGAATGAGTATTAGCCTTCAGTATTAGCCAGGCTCAGGGTTCTCCCCCCATCAGTTATGTTTGGTACAAGGAACAAACTAATAACCAACTAATAATCATCAAAGTAGTAGCCTTGAATACCTTACTTTTCAAGCCTGCAGTGGTAACCAACTCAGGATCCTATTTCTGTACTGTCAAAGACTGGGTTGGCTCCAAGCAGTGCAGTGATCAAAGGTGAGCAGCCCTCTCTCATGGTGAGAATCATAACAGACCATCTTGAACAAGAGATACCTCAGAATAGTTCTCTTATGCCAGAGAAGGGTTGGGGGATTGGGGTGGTTAGTAGGCAATGGTTGTACAATCACACACACACACACACACACACACACACACACACACAAAATCAGGACTGGAGACAACAGAGCTAGAGACAATGCCTGACATGTTACAGGTTAAGTAGATAAAGATGGTAAAGGAAAAAGTGATATTTACTAGGTACCTCATATTTGCCAGGTACAAAGCATAAGAAATTGACACATTTTCTCATTGAATCTCTCAGAACTGTCCCATGAGATTGCTATAATTATTCATTTTACAGAAGAGGAAATGGAGAGTCAGAAAGGGGAATCTTCTTATTTATGCGTTCACAGCAGGGAAGTGCAAATCTGGATTTGCATTTAGATTCTCTTTCCACTATGTCCAATTGTCTCTCATGGTGTTAACTATATCAGATCCTGGGAACCTTTTGGAAGCTATTGTGTTTTATTAGTTTGTTCACTTTATTTGTTTATTCATTTGTTGGTTGGTTATTGATTTTTTTTGTTTGTTCGATAAGGTTTGCTTTATGAAATTAAAGCCCAGATCTCTACATATTTTCTTTTGATTTCCCCCCATTCTTCCTAAAGACAAATGCAAATTCTGGTTGGGGTTTCCATGGAGATGGGCTGTGGTTAATCTATTTCTTATAGAACTGTTATGGGAGTACTACAAACTATGCACATAAAGACTATAGGCTGGGATTTAAATGAAGAGCCCAGCAGGGATATGTCCAGATGATTTTTCTTGCTTTCCAAGATAACGCTTTGGAAGGGAAGACATTTTCTCCAACAAGGCTGTCAGGAACTAACTGCTTTTAGAGAATTTCTCTGAGTCACATGAAAATTAATATACTTTGAGAATGGCTCTGTATAAGGAGAGTGAGAAAATTGTCTATCACCACTTCGATGAGACTGATGTCGGTTTGAGACTTCCATGTTTGCCTGGAGGGATTTGTTTCCCAAAGTTGGATTGTAGTACAGATGTGTGTTATGTAGATCCTGATCTATTAGTTTTGGGGAAAACAAGGACGGTCCACCCTAAGAGAGTTACATAGACAGTACCCCAGTTCTCTGAGAACTGACAGTCTGCTCAAGCAGCAAGGACAGGGCATGACCAGAAATCCCAAGAACATGTACTTATAAAGAAACAAACTGAACATTCTTGCCTTTCTGTGAGTTAGCTCCTAGACCATTTGGACAGGAATTTGCTCACAGCTAACCAGCCTCTATTCTTTATCATGGTTGATGCTTGATGGAGTTTGGATGTGTTGTCCCCTCCAAAACTCACGTGGAAATTTGATCTCCAATGTGGCAGTGCTGGAAACTGATTGAGTCATGGGGGTGGATACCTCATGAATGGATTAATGCTCTCCCTGGGGGAGGGGAGAGTAATGAGTGAGTTCTCACTCGATTAGTTCCTGTGAGAGCTTGTTGTTTATAGGACCCTGGCAACTCCTCTCTCTCTCTCTTGCTTCCTCTCTCACCATGTGATCTGCTCGTACCCACTGGCTGCCTGCCACTTTCCACCATGAGTAGAAGCAGCCTGAGGCCCGTGCCAGATGCAGCTGTCCCAGAATCGTAAGCCTAATAAACCTCTCTTCTTTATAAATTACCCAGTTACAGGTATTCTGCTATAGCAACACAAAACGGACTAAAACAATGCTTATCACAACAATGCTGTTAGGCAGTGTTTGCCATTGCCCCCTACTGACAGATAAGGAAACTGAGACTCTGAGAAGTTACTCTCAGCCTTCCACCCTTCCCAGCTCTCTGAGCCAAGCTACTCTCTCTTGGCTTCCTCTGCCTATCTCTCCACCCCAACCTGGTCCCATAAGTCTGGCCCCTGTTTTACCTCTACCCTACAGAGCTCTCAACCCTTAACCCTTCCACCTCACCCTCTGTGCTGTTCATCAGTTCTGGAATGGCCCTGTAGGCCAGGCCTTTGCTCATGCTCTTGGACTGCTAAACTCTGCTGACAAAACAAAACACAGATATGCATTGGCCCTACCTTGCTTTCACACTCTGAGATATCCACTTCCTGTCTCCACGCTGTTTTTAAATCCATTTGCTTATCTTTGTTTAATTCCTTATAGCACCTATTCAGAACATTTCCACCGATTTGGGGGCCCTTGCTCCCAGAAGATGAGATCACCTCCTCCTTCTCTGAGAATACCAGGCTCTCTTCAGAATTCTATTAACTACCCTCCTGTCCACCTTGACATTTCCCTACCCACTTCTTCTTGGCTTAGAGTAACAAATGCTTTGTTCCTCTCCACAGCAAACCCTTTCTCCTGAACTCTTAGCCTCAGCTACTCTAATGCCCTGCTCTATCCACTGTACGTGCATATATATAAGCCAAATATATGTACACATGTATAATGTATATGTATATATGCAAGCTTAGTATATATGTTATTTTAAAAAAATCTTTCCATCTCCATGCCATTTCTCCTATGGTTACTACCAACCTTCCAAAGAAGGTATCTCCCACCAGCTGTACCTCCCAGTTCACCACAGCATAACTTTGTAAACTGATCTCATCATTGACCTCCAAATCACCAAAGCCCAAGACCTTTACATTTGTACCCATCCTTTCCAACATCTCTGTAGCAGCTGACTCTGTTGGCCATTCCTTTCTCCTTGAAACTCTTTCAACCACGGCTATCAATCACACCACTTTCTTTTAGTCCTCCTAAAACCTCTCTGACTGATCCTTCTCAGACTCCTTGCTGCCTCTTCTTTCATTCTGCTTAATTGTTAAGTGTTGAGAAAGACTTAGCACATATTCTCCTCTTTGTATATCTCTATAGTATCAATGGATTTTGCCTCCTTCTGTGGCTTCAAACATCACCTCTAGGCTGATGATTGTCAAACCATATTTTATTCCTAATTTCTCTTCTGAGTGCTAGATCCCAATGTCTAGTTATTTTCTGGACACTAATCTCAGCTTTTCCAAAACTGAACTTACCATTTACCCACCAAAACTGGTCCTCAAACCTGTTAGAAGACACAGCAATATCTCTGACCCCTTCTCCTTTACCTCTCATGGTCAAATAATCACAAAGATCACCACGTGCTGAAAATTCAACTGCTGAATCAGATCTTTTATTAAGCTCCTCTTTTTTATTTCCACATCCTCATGGTTTTATCTTCTTTTTTTTTTTCTGAACAGTTTCAATAGTGTTCTAAATGGTCTTCCCACAGCCATCCATTCTCACCAAACCATCAATTTATTCAGCATTTATTGACAATCTATTGTATGTCACTAGATTATAAAATCCAAGAGTGCAGAATTCTACCTCTCTACCTCATAGCTATTTTCTGGAGCCCAGAAAAGTATTTAGCACATAGGACAAGCTAAATGAGTACAGCATTTGTTAATGAATAGACAAAATATGCCTCTCTCTCACCTTCAAAAATTCCACCACACCATTGTCAGAATTATTTTCCTAAAACTTAGACTGAGCAATGTTTACTTCCTTCCTCAAAAACTCTTTGTTACTTGCTGTGGATCCTTCCACCCAAAGAACAAAAGCCCAAATTCTTTTAGTCTGTCCCAGCCTTCATATACAGCCTTATCTTCTAATATTTCTACATCTGAAACAGCATGCTGTTCCCTCTACCTGCAATGTTTTTCTTCCTTCTCACCCTAAAGAAATTCCATTGACCTTTCAGTGACATCTTATTTTTGTATTGAGATATATTTCACATAATAAAAAATTTCACATTTTAGAGTATACAATTCAGTGGTTCATATAGTTGTACAATAGTCACCATTACCAAATTCCAGAACATTTCAATCACCCCAAAAGGAAATCCCATGCCTATTAAGCATCACTTCCATTTCCTCATACTCCTAAACCCTAGAAAACACTAATATTCTTGCAGTCTCTATGGATTTTCCTATTC